TGCCTGGGTCCTTGAAGAAGCTCTTGGCTCCTGGCTTTGGACTGGCCCAGATCTGGCCATTGTGGCCATCTGGAGAATGAACTATCAGTTGGAGGATCTCTCTCTCTGTCTCTCCTTCTCTCTCTGCAACTCTGCCTTTCAAGTAAATAAAATTTTTTAAAATAAAGTTAAATTGTTCTCTAAGTAGTACCTGATAGACTGCAAGATATGTTGTTGAGTGAAAGAAGCACATTGCAGAACAATCTGGATAACATGACATCACATATGGAAAAACAGAAAAAAAGAATATTTCCCACAGATCCACAGATATGATGAACGTACAGCAAAAGGTTTGGAAAGAAAAACCCAAAATTGACAACAGTGGAGAGGAAGAGGGCTGGAATTGAGGATGGCGCAATAACCTTATCCAAAGAGATCTTTAAGTTAAAATCAAATTTAAAATTTTACTCAGAGCCTGGTGTGGTGCAGCTACGCTCGTGACGTCAGCATCCTGTATTGGAGTACCGGACAGTGCCAGCTGCTCCACCCGAGTCCGGCTCCCTGCTAGTGGCCTGGGAAAGTGGTGGAGGATGGCCCAAGTCCCTGGGTCCCTGCACCCATGTGGGAGATGCGCGTGGAGTCTGGTTCTGGGCTTCAGCCTGGCCCAGCCTTGGCTGTTGCAGCCTTTTGTGGAGTGAACAAGCAGGTGGAAGATTTCTGGCACTCCCTCTGTCACTCTGCCTTTCAAAGAAATAAATAAAACTTAAAAAATTTTTATTCAAAATACATGCAGGTATGATCTGTAGAATTCAAAATTAATAAAAAAATTTTTTTTTTCAGAAGACAGAAAACAGAGTCTATGAGCGCTGCTCCCACCCGACCTCACCTTCCAATGCCTTCCCGGCTGCCTTTTCTCCAGCCCCAAGCATGCGCACGCACATGCACACGCACAGGAAATCTGGCTGTAATCCCAACTGAAGCGTTTGCTAAACAGCATTGAGAAAGAACCAGCTGTTTTGCAAGCAGTAGCCAAGGGGAGCCGTTATCCCACAGGACGTTGGGCTTCGCGTCCGGAGGGGATGTTTGGGAAAGCTAAGTGGGAAGCAGGGAGGGCGGTGTGTGTGTGTGTGTGTGTGTGTGTGTGTGTGACACACCCATCATACTGACTGCAGTCTTGTAGTCTTGAGATTTAACAATCCCAGCAGTGCCCTCCAGAGGCCACCCCCGGGTCGGGGAGCTGGAGGGTCACGGTGGGACAGAGTTGCTTGGGGCGTCTCCCCCAGAGCCAAGTTCTCCTTCCAGTTCCTTTCACGCTGAGAAACTCGCTCTCAGAGCCTCCAGTACACCTGAGCCAGACACGCGGGGCCTGGGTGGGCGGCCCACAGCGATACAGAAGGAGGAGGCTGACGGCTTTGCAGAGACTGTGGTTGGGTCCACAGCGATACAGAAGGAGGAGGCTGACGGCTTTGCAGAGACTGTGGTTGGGTCATTATGAATCAGATGGAAACACTGTCCAGTCGCAGAGTGTTTCCAGCCCCTCTACACAAAGGCAGGCCCACAGCCCCAACCTGAGCCAGAGGCAGGAGGCTGGAGATCCTGTATCTGGAGAAGTCTTCCAGCTCTGCGAGGGTGGAAAAGGAAGAGCACGATACAGACTTTCTTTGTGAAGGCTTTAGCTTTTCAAAGCTTCACAGGCCTCCTGATGGGCGGGATCCACTGCAGCTTCTGGGTCCGCCCCTCCTCTGCCCTGGAACTCTGGCCACACCCGCTGCCCTGCCTGCTGCTTTGGGTCAAGGATGTCCCCGGAGTGGCGAGCACTGTGGTGCAGGAGGTTAAGCTGCTGCCCGGGACACCTGCGTCCCATATCAGAGCCTGGAATCAGGGCCTGGATCCTTCACTCTCAGCTTCCTGTTAATAAGCCTGGGAGGCAGCAGAGGGTGGCCCAAGCACCTGAGCCAAGCACCTGCCACACATGGGAGATGAGGATGGAATCCTGGCTCCTGGCTCCTGCCTGACACAGCTCTTTCTCCCTCTCTCCCTCTCATTTTCTCTCTCTTCCCTCCTCTCTCTGCGTGTCTCACCCTCTCTTTCTGCCACCCTGCCTTTCAAATAAAATAAATATTTTTTTTGACAGGCAGAGAGGATAGTGAGAGAGAGAGACAGAGAGAAAGGTCTTCCTTTTGCCGTTGGTTCACCCTCCAATGGCTGCCACGGCTGGTGCGCTGCGGCCGGCGCACCACGCTGATCTGAAGGCGGGAGCCAGGTGTTTCTCCTGGTCTCCCATGGGGTGCAGGGCCCAAGCACTTGGGCCATCCTCCACTGCCTTCCCGGGCCACAGCAGAGAGCTGGCCTGGAAGAGGGGCAACCGGGACAGAATCCGGCGCCCCGACCGGGACTAGAACTCGGTGTGCCGGCGCTGCTAGGTGGAGGATTAGCCTATTGAGCCGCGGCACCGGCTCAAATAAAATAAAATTTTTTTTAAAAAAGCAACTTCTCAATAGGGCAGAAAGCCTCTGCCTGCCTCCTGTGCCCGTCGCCTGCCCCTGTATTACGAGACTGAATGAAGCCCATTTGTGTCAGGGACTTGGTGGTGTAGCTCTCTGGCCCCAGGATGTCCTTCCATCCCTGTGTCCACTTTGTCCTTCAAGCCAGTCTCAAGCTTCGGCTCCTTCCAGAAGTCCTCCTGGTCCCTTGGTCCTGCCAGCTGATGCTCCCTGAGAACCCCGCACAGGCCCTGGGGCTGCCATGGGTTTGTTTTTCTGCTCCTCCATGTGCACTGGCTGAGGGAAAGGCCCGTGCCTGCTCAGTGGGGCATGTCCAGTGCTCAGCACACTACCTGGTCCCAGCATCAGAGGAGAATTGCCGCACAGACGACTGAATGGAAGATCAGAAATAAGCGTGCAGAGGCAGCTGGGTGCAGAGCGCTGGTAGGTCCCACACCGAGGCTGCCCTGCCCTGGGCCTGCTGTTGCCCTTGGCAGAGTCCTTTCCCACTCTGGGCTCCCTCCTCCTCATCTCGACAACCAGGGGATTATACAAAATGTCTGTGCCACCGTGGGGCTCAACAATTCCCTGAGAGTAAAAGACACGAATACCCAGGCTGAGGCAGGCGACAGGGAGAGGCTGCCGTCATGCGTGGCGGGCAGGACCAGGAACAACCTTCACAAATGTTAAAAGGCGCTAAAACTGTGCACATCTGAATATGCAGCATTTTTGTCTTTCTTCTTGCTTATTTATGTGATAAACGATGACCAATCCTGAAAGAAAAAAAAATAGCCACAATCTAGGTTCTTATATTTTCAATTTATTTAAAAAGATTTATTTATTTATTTGAAATGCAGAGTTACAGAGAGGCAGAGGCAGAGAGAGAGAGAGAGAGAGAGAGAGAGAGAGAGGTCTTCCATCCGCTTGTTCACTCCCCAAATGGCTGCAATGGCTGGAGCTGTGCCGATCCGAAGCCAGGAGCCAGGAGCCAGGAGCCAGGAGCCAGGAGCCAGGAGCCAGGAGCCAGGAGCTTCCTCCGGGTCTCCCACGTGGATGCAGGGGCCCAAGTACTTAGGCCATCTTTGGCTGCTTTCCCAGGCCATAGCAGAGAGCTGGATTGGAAGTGGAGCAACTGGGACTTGAGCTGTCGCCCATATGGGATGCCAATATTGTAGGTGGTGGCTTTACCCGCTACACCACAGCGCTGGCCCCTCAATTTAGTTTTACTTATGCTTATTAGTATTCTCTAACTTCTCATCAATGAAGATATATTACTTGTGAGATTTAAAAAATATTTCCAAAAGCCTATAAAATTCTAGAAATTGTTTCACAAAGAGCCACTTGACCAGGTCCACACATGGCAAGCCTCTGGCAGAGCAAGGCTGGGAGAAGGGTTTCTCCCAGAGGATCCTGGGCTCTGCTCCCGGGTACGTTGCCAGCCCCTGTTCCCTTGCCAAGATGTGGTCTGAGTGTGGAAGATCAGAGCGAGTGGCAGGAAGGTGGCTGAAGGTAGGTGTGGCCACAGCAAAACAGGACACAGGAGCCCTGGGTGGCAGGCGTGCAGCCTGAGGAGGCCCGGGAGGGGCACAGTCATGGGAACTTGCCCTCCCTGCAAATGGCAGCCCCTAGCCAGCCTTTCTCAAGGAAGCAGTTTCCTCTTCTACTTCAGACTGACCCAGAATCCTTAGCCCAGATCCTCCCGACTGCACTCATCTTGTCCCAGAGAGGCCCTGGGCGGTGTCACTCAGCTGACCACTAGCCACCAGCGGCTCTGCTTTCCCCTGGTTCCTGAAATCCAGGACAGCTGGCTGAAGTGCTGGAGGCGGATTCCTACCATGCACCAAGAAGACAGAGGGGGAGGACAGAGGAAGTTACCTCAGTCCTGAGCCTGTAGTCCCCGGGGCCTTCCTTCCTGTCAAGCCCAACGGTCTCCAGACAGATTTCCTGTCTCCTTAGCCCCACCAGGAACCGGGGCTGCCCTCCAGGGCTGGCTGCAGGGGCTGGGTGACTGTTGGGGTGGCTCCTGGGGGCTGATTGGGTCATCATCACAGGGGTCTCCCGTGCAGCCCTCCCCCACTCGTCTTCTCCCCTAGGCACAATCCCATAGGCTGTTGGTTCTGTTCCTTTCAAAGGAACCACTTAACCAGATTTTCAGAGGGGTTAGCTGTGTGCACCTGCTGTGATGTGTGCACTTGCTGTGAACAGCACAGGTCTGGGTGCATACAACAGAGTGCCAAGTCCCAACACTGGGGACATGGCTGGTACCCCATTTCCTGCCCCTCTGCTCTGTTGCAGGGGCTCCTTTCTGTGTACCACAGCCCCAGGAGGGGAGGAGAGAGCTCAGGCGCCAGCGGCAGACCTCCCTCCGCCCAGCCCCACCCCCAGCCTAGAGCACTTAAAAGCCCAGAGACAGCTGGGAGACACTGCCAACGTCAGGTGAACTGCAGAGGTGGGGTCTTGGCCGGGTGATGGCAGCTGGCAAGGGGTGGGGGTGCTGTGGACCCCTTACTCAAGCAGGCCTGGTTTCATCCACAGACAGGGCCCCCGGAAGTGGGGCTGGTGTGAAGCTGGGCACGAGGCACCCAGGAGGCGAGAGCTGGTGGAACACTCTCAGGGCACTTACTGGGTTGTACAGATGAAGCTGCTCCTGGCCCTAGCAGGGATCCTGGCCATTGCAGCCTTGCCCCAGTCCTCTGATGGTGCCACTCCAGGTAATGGCTCAGAAAGGAGGCAGAGGTGGTGCTTGGGTGGGTGGGGGTGGGGGTGCTGAGTCCCAGAACTCGGGGCAGGCTTCCCTGGCACTGGGGCCTGACGGGGCCCTTTGTGCTCATTGCTAAGCTTGTGACCCCCGCTCTGGGCAGCTGTGCTGGGGGAGGTGGAGACCTCGGTGGTGCTGAGCTGCATGGAGGAGGCCAAGCGACTAGTGGACAAGGCCTACAAGGAGCGGCGGGAAAGGTGGGCACCCAGCACCGAGCTCAGGGCAAACTTGCGCCAGGCCTTGCAGAAGGGGAGCCCTCAGCGGGCAGTTTCTGGGGAGATGTGGGGCTGATGGGGAGGTGCTGGGCTCTGTTTATCTTTGTGCCTCTGGGAGTGAGAACATCTGTAAAATCACCCCTCTCACGGCCTTGCCTCTGTCTGGGCGCTTATCTCTTTCTTTTTTCTTTTTTCTTTTTAAGATTTATTTATGTGAGAGGCAGAGACATAGGGAGATGTGGGGCTGATGGGGAGGTGCTGGGCTCTGTTTATCTTTGTGCCTCTGGGAGTGAGAACATCTGTAAAATCACCCCTCTCACGGCCTTGCCTCTGTCTGGGCGCTTATCTCTTTCTTTTTTCTTTTTTCTTTTTAAGATTTATTTATGTGAGAGGCATAGCAGAGAGTTGCCGGGTCTCAAACTGGTGCCCACTTGGGATGCCGGCACTGCAGGGGGGAGGCTTTACCCGCTACACCCTACACCACAGCACTGGCCCCACTTATCTCCTTTTTATTAAAAAACAAAACAAACAAACAAAAAAAACTCCTTTGGGGCTGGCATTGTGGCCCAGGAGTTAAGCTCCCACCTGCAGCACTGGCGTCCCATGCAAGAGCCTGTTCTAGTCCCGGCTACTCCATCCCGGATCCAGCTCCCTGCTAATGCACCTGTGAAAGCAGCAGCAGATGACTCAAGTGCTTGAGTGGGTAGCAGGGGCTACCCACGAGGGAGACCCTGATGGGAGTTCCAGGCTCCTGGCTTCTGCCTGCCCAGGCCCAACCTTGTGCTGAGTGCCCATCCTGGCTGGGGCTCAGCTGAGCATCGCCGCACCCCTTCCGTGGTCCTCACTCCTCCCTTCTCTAAGCAGCATCAAGCAGCGGCTTCGCAGAGGCTCGGCCAGCCCCATGGACCTCCTGTCCTACTTCAAGCAGCCAGTGGCAGCCACCAGGACAGCTGTGAGGGCCGCTGACTATCTGCACGTGGCCTTGGGGCTGCTGGAGAGGAAGCTGCGGTCCCTGCTGCCAGGGCCCTTCAATGTCACTGGTACTGGGGCTCCTCCTACCGGGCACCTGCTCCACTAGGGACCCCTGCTACTAACTGCCCATCTCCCGTGAGGTTCCCTAGCACCCCAGCCAGCACATCTCCCACTGGCCTCGCCCCAGAGCCCAGGGCTGCTCCCCGTTGCCTGGCAGAAGGGAGCAGGGCGGCGCTCCCACACATGTCTTCCCGGGCAGACGTGCTGACACCTGCTCAGCTGAGAACGCTGTCCACGGCAAGCGGCTGCGCTTATCAGGACGTGGGGGTGACGTGCCCAGAGCAGGACAAGTACCGCACCATCACCGGGCACTGCAACAACAGGTGCGACCCCAGGGCGGCCGCCGAGGGTCCAGCCTGCGTCGCCACCTCTCGCCAGCGCGCTGTCCTCCCCCTGCAGACGCAGTCCCACACTGGGGGCCTCCAACCGGGCCTTTGTGCGCTGGCTGCCGGCCGAGTACGAGGACGGCTTCTCGATGCCCTACGGCTGGACGCCCGGAGTCAAACGCGGTGGCTTCGCAGTGCCGCTGGTGAGCGCCGGCGGGCGGCGGGCGGCGGGGGCACGGCCCGCGGGGACCAAGCGCCCCTGACGCCCTGTGTCCCGCAGACCCGCGCCGTCTCGAACGCGATCGTGCGCTTCCCCAACGAGCAGCTGACGATGGACCGTGAGCGCTCCATCATGTTCATGCAGTGGGGCCAGTTCCTCGACCACGACCTGGACTTCACGCCTGAGCCGGCCGCGCGGGTCTCCTTCATCACTGGCCTCAACTGCGAGACCAGCTGCCTGCAGCAGCCGCCCTGCTTCCCCCTCAAGGTGCTCACTGCTTGTCCCGCCCACGGCAGTCCATGCGGCCTGGAACAGGGGAGGTGGCCAGCCTTGCCTCTCCGTGTCCAGAATCAACGCCAGTCCCGTGGGACCTGCCTCCCTCCTTCGAGCTGGCCCGGGTCTGTTCGGCCCTAGCTGCCTGATTCTTAAGTGGTGGAGTGCCAGGCTCCTTCCCAATGCCCCTTCCGTGGGTGCCTTCCCAGGGAGGAGCCCTTCCTACCATGGCCACACTAGGAGTGGGAGGGTCTGGCTTGGGGGTGGGAGCAGGGCTGAGTGGGTGGTGGTTGAGATCCAGGCTCAAGAAGAAGGAAGAGGAGAGAGAGGGAAAGGGACAGGAGAATAGACAGGTAAGGGTCAAGGTAGAGGCAGAGACAGGGGGAAGGGCAGGGGTGGGGGGAGAGGAGAGAGAGAGATGGAGAGTGTGTAGAAAGGAGGAGAGGGAGGACCCAGAGGAGAGAGGGAGACTGGTAGCATTAGAGTTCGTGGGGAGGGGTGGAGGGCTGGCAGCGCCCGCAACCCTTCCCACCTGGGTGTTCCGGTTATCAGCGGGGGTGCTTTGCTCCTGGCGCCCAGGCCCCAGAGGCCTCTGTGCAGTTTGAGGGGGTGGGGCGGCCTCTCCTCTCCAGGGACCCTCTGTGTGGGAGCCCAGCCTCTCTCCTGTGCTGCAGATCCCGCCCAATGACCCCCGCATCAAGAACCAACGCGACTGCATCCCCTTCTTCCGCTCCTGTCCGGCCTGCACCGGAAGCAACATCACCATCCGCAACCAGATCAATGCGCTCACCTCCTTCGTGGACGCCAGCATGGTGTACGGCAGCGAGGATCCGCTGGCCGCCAAGCTGCGCAACCAGACCAACCAGCTGGGGCTGCTGGCTGTCAACCAGCGCTTCCGCGACAACGGCCGGGCCCTGCTGCCCTTCGACACCCTGCACGACGACCCCTGCCTCCTCACCAACCGCTCCGTGCGCATCCCCTGCTTCCTGGCAGGTCAGTTCTCCGGGGGTGGTGTGAGGGACCAGGACGTGACCCCTGCTGGAGCCACAGGGGCCCTGTTTGTGAGCATCTGTAGGTTTGTGTTTACAGAGAAGGTCCTCACCTGCTTCCTGATGTTAATCAGTTGCCTTGGTGACAAGTTGGTTGGAGCCAGAAAGGAAACAAGATAAGCCCCTCCCCCAACCTAAGAGAGACCCAGGGTTGGCTGCGGAGCCTCTCCATCTGTCTCTCTGTCTCTTTCTCCTCTGGTCTCTGGAAGAGAGGAGAGTTCAGTCGCCCTGGGACAGGGAGCTGACAGGACAAAGGGGAATGTGGCCCCCTCACCCTCCAGAATCACAACATGGCATGATGCAGTAGCCACATGTCCCGCGTGGTAGCCGATAACCCCATGGAGCTATTTTCGTTTTACTTCTTTGAATAATAACTCTGTTTCCCAGCTGCGCTAGCCACATGCTGGTGATCAGTGGCCCTGCTGGGCAGCGCAGCCATAGAACACTGTCGTCATCTGGGACAGTCCGTGGATGACACTGCTCCACCATGCCAGGAGGCCCTCCTGTCCACGTGTCACCCAAACCAAGAGAGGCTGGGATTCCAAACGCAGACAGCTAGCAGCTTGGGCGATACAGCTGGGGCAGCGGGCGGAAGTCTTCCTGTGTGTTTTCTTTCTTTTCTACCAAAAGGAAACTGAAGTTATTTTCACTTTATTTGAAGGGAAAGAGAGAGAGCGAGAGATCTTCCATCTGCTGATCATTTCCCCAAATGCCCCACAACCCCACAACAGCCAAAGCTGGGCCAGGCCAAAGCCAGGAGACTAGAAGGAACCCAAGTAGTTGAGCTGTCATCTGCTACCTCCCAGAATGAATATTAGCAGGAAGCTGGATTGGAAGCAGAGGAGCCAGGACTCAAACCAGGCCCCTGATATAGGATGTGGGTGTCCCGAGCAGCATCCTAACCACTGCACCAGACACCTGCCCCTCCTGGGTTGTGCGTGTTTGAGGGCGGCTTCTCAGAGGAGTGCAGATGGAGCCCCGTGTGGGAAGATGGGAGCAGAGCGGGAGCGCGGAGGAGATATTCCAGGCCTTGGCTGGCCAGGGAGTTTCAGTGGAGCAAATGTTTTCTGGGCTGGAGGTCTCAGAAGTGACAGGGACTCCTGTTTCCCTCAGGGGACACCCGCGCCAGCGAGATGCCTGAGCTCACGTCCATGCACACCCTCTTTGTGCGGGAGCATAACCGGTTGGCCACCCAGCTCAAGCGCCTGAACCCCCGCTGGAGTGGAGAGAAGCTCTACCAGGAAGCCCGGAAGATCGTGGGGGCCATGGTGCAGGTAGGCCACGTCCCCAGCACCCAGCTGACTCGGGATCCCACTGCCTCTGCAGCGTCCTGGCGCTCTGACCTGGGGCAAACCACTTACCTCCCGAGCTCTGGCCTCTTCATCATGGTGCTGTGAGGACGTGTACAAAAACACCCGGCAGACACGACGCACCCGACAGAGGCAGCTCCGTCAGCGTCTTCCACCACATAGCAGCGGCTCAGGAAATGCTTGCCCCTTCTCTCTCTCCTTGTCACTCTTGGCTCCTCCTCCCTATCCCCTCTTCCCTTTGGCGCTGTCATCACCCACCCAACCCCCAACCTCATGTATCCCAGGAGCAGTGCTCTGATGCTCCAGTGTCCTCAAGTGCTCCCCAAGGTGCGCGTGTGCACACACACACACACACACACACACATGCATTTGGAGACTCTGCAGGGGGACAGAACTGCAGGTGCTGAGGGTGAGTTTTTGACTCACACGGAGAACTCAAGTGAGATTCTTTTCAGCCTCAGAGAGAATTCAAGTGGGCTCTAGAGTGAGACTGTCCCACAGCCTCCCTTTGCACAGGGGGTAGCCCTGTGTTCTTCCTGCCTCCCCTCCTTCCACAAACCTGTGCTGAGCCCCCCCATAGGCCTTGCTGGGCACTGTGAAGAGTTTCAACAACTCCCATTCCCCTGCTCTCATAGGAGGAATGCCAGTCATCCAAGGGCAAGGGAGGGGCTGCCATCACCAACAAAGTGCTTTGTCATTTGCTCCCCTAAGGTGGAGGGCAATACAATTATCCCAATGTACATTTGGGGAGCTGGGGCTCAGTGGTTAATAACTGGCTGGAGGACACACAGCCAGTAAGCAGTGGGGCTCTGCGCATGCCCATCAGTGCTGCTCTGTTAGGTTTAGATCTGGAACTGCGGGAGGTGACCGTAGATGGACGTCGGCGGGGGGGACCCCCAAGGTCAGGTCAGGCCATTGCACATGACTTTTCTCCAGATCATCACTTACAGGGACTACCTGCCCCTAGTGCTGGGGCCAAGAGCCATGAGGAAGTACCTGCCCAGGTACCGAGGCTACAATGACTCTGTGGACCCACGCATCGCCAACGTGTTCACGAACGCCTTCCGCTACGGCCACACCCTCATCCAGCCCTTCACATTCCGCCTGGACCACAAGTACCGGCCCACGGGGCCCAACTCCCGTGTCCCACTCAGCACGGTGTTTTTTGCCACTTGGAGGGTAGTGCTGGAAGGTGAGCAGATTTAGGCCAGGAGATGCGGGCTGGCAGCTGAGGGCGGGTGGGCATGGCTGCCAGCAGATGGAGATGGGAAAAACTTTTCTTTCCATCTTTGGGGTAGACGCTGACTTTTCACTTGCAGTTCCCCCTGCCTCTGTCTCTGGATCTGATAATAAGGAGTGGGGGTGGAAATGGCTCTCAGGGAGAGCTGGAACCTCCCTGAGTGGTGGCTCTCCGTGACCCAGGAGGCCAGGAGGCCTTGCACGTCTGAGTGGCAGTCGGTCGTCGGAGACCTGGGCCCCTGCAATTGTGTGGTGCCACCTTGGCGCCCGGTGTTGTGTGTGTCCAGCCCTCTTCTCCAGTCTCCCTGGCCCCACCTGGAGTTGTCCTGCCTCTAACCTGAGCTCTGGTCCTGAGCTGGACCCTGCCCCTCCCCTTGCTCCTTCTGCCCCAGGCGGCATTGACCCCATCCTCCGGGGCCTCATGGCCACCCCTGCCAAGCTCAATCGCCAGAATCAAATCGCGGTGGACGAGATCCGGGAGCGGTTGTTTAAGCAGGTCATGAGGATCGGGCTGGACCTGCCTGCTCTGAATATGCAGCGGAGCAGGGACCATGGCCTTCCAGGTGAGAGCTGCCACCTGCTAGGTAACCCCTAACTCCCTGCCCTCTTCAGTGCCTCCTACCGCCCACAACTCCCTCTGCCACCCTCAGCCCCAGCCCTTTGCCAGGCCCCTACCATTCCCTGGGGCCATGTACTCCATTGCTAGCTCCTCTTGGCCTCCTTTGCATGCTGAAATCCCCAAACTTGCATCATCAGCGTGACAGCATAGCTACAGCCTGAAACTCTGTCTCCATCATCATCATCACCTCACTTTGCTTTGTTGTACATGAGCTCTGAGGAGGAAGAGATTATTATCACCTCCACCCTACTGATGAGCTGACTGAGGCTTGGAGAAATTCGGAACCTCGCCAGGGGCTCCTGCCAAGTCTGCGATGGGAGCTGGGTCAGCTCCCAGCTCTGGGGGTTCAGGGCTCCCTCTGTCCATGGCCTTGGTAGCCAGGAAAGTGGGTTTTCTGGGTTGATGGCATGCACGAGGATCTTATCTGCCACCCCCAGTGAGCTCCCAACCTGGACCTACCCCAAGTTACCTCCCCTTGCCCACACAGGGTACAACGCCTGGAGGCGCTTCTGTGGGCTCCCACAGCCCAGCACAGTGGGTGAGCTGGGCACGGTGCTGAAGAACCTGGACCTGGCGAGAAAGCTGATGGCGCAGTATGGCACGCCCAACAACATCGATATCTGGATAGGGGGCGTGACCGAGCCCCTGCAACCCGGAGGCCGCGTGGGCCCGCTCCTCGCTTGCATCATCGGCACCCAGTTCAGGAAGCTCCGGGATGGTGATCGGTGAGGAGGTGGCAGAGGCAGCCGGGCCTGCTGTGATGTGTGTGTGCACAGTGTAGTGTGTGTGTGTGGGGGGGGGGGGGGTTGGCTGTGGCCTGTCTTCCCATCTCAAGAAGGCCTGGAAGGAGTCAGGGATTTTTCTGTGTGTTCTAAAGGGTCTCCAGGTCATGTGCCCTGAACCTGTTGGGGGTGTAGCAGGAGGTGCCCTGGTTGTGCAGGAAGGCAGAAGGCATGCCGCCTTGCTACGTGTTCTCAGGGTTCACTGTGTACCCACAGAGAGAGCTGTCAGTCGCTATTGAAGTCCCACCCTAGCTCATTCATCGAGGTCCTCATGCCTCCACCTCTGTGTCTTCAGGCCAAGGGGCGTGAAGAGCCCTGGGCTGCCCGTGTGCCTGCAGCTCCTCTGTGGCCAGGGCAGAGTCTGCCGTGTCCCTCTGACATCCCAGGCGGAGCTGGAGCTGGCTGGCACCTCCCAGCCATGAGGTGCTCAGGTGCAATGTCTGCGGTGCTCCCCGCACAGGTTTTGGTGGCAGAACAGGGGCGTGTTCAGCACGCAGCAGCAGCGGGCCTTGGCCAAGGTCTCCTTGCCCCGCATCATCTGCGACAACACAGGCATCACCACCGTGTCCAAGAACAACATCTTCATGTCCAACTCCTTCCCCCGGGACTTTGTCAACTGCAGCTCTCTGCCTGTTTTGGACCTGGCTTCCTGGAGGGAGAGGGCCTAGAGACCGGGTAAGGGGGTGCCGCAGTGAGGGGGGTACCTGGGCTGGCCGCTCTGGAGCACAGAGATCCCCCTCCCCAGATGAGCCTGCCCTGTTCTAGGGGCCACCTGTGACATAGAGCGATGAGTGCTCGTTCATTCCTGGGGGTGTGTGTGTGTATGCATGTGTGTGCACACTGTGCGTAAATGGGCAGTTCATGCCCATGTGGCCCGTGAACACAGGCAGTGTTTTATGTGCTGTGCATGTGTGCCATTCATGAGTGTGTGCTTGCTGTGTACAGGAGCCTTGAGTATACAGAAGGCAGCAAAGCAGACTGGGGAGGAGCACAGCCCAGGAGCTGGACTGCCTGGGTTTCAATCACGCCCACCTTGCTCTACCTTGCTAAGCCTGAAGGTCTCTGAACCTCTGCAAATAATAACGGTTATGGCTCCATTTGTAGCCATTGAGCACCTACTGTGTGCCGGACACTGGGCAAGGCCTGGAAACACACGGAGGCAAGGGGGGTCTCCGTGGCAGCCAGCGGGGTCTCGCTGGCAGCCTCCAGGCACTCATCCTGGGCTGTGTCCTGGGGAGCAGAATGACCAGCGACTCCCAGAGTGAACCCCTTGCAGTGGGGCTGTGGGGTGGAACCAGGGGCCAGGGCCAGCCAGGCTTAGCCCACTGCTCCCGTTGCCCTTGCTTACCCTGCTGTCCTGCTTATTCACAGGGTCTACCTGGAGGGCACCTGGGGCCCATGGTCCTTCTGTACCATTTGTACCTAATGCTTACGATAATAAAGCACCGCCCATCGGCTCTCAGTTCTGTCCCTGTCTGCAAAGGGCTGGCACCTCAGCAGGAGAGGGGACAAAACCCTGTCCTGTGGGGGGGGGGGGTAGGAGACAGGGGAGGAGGAGTAGCAGAGGTTTGATGGGCAGACAGATGCTCCCTAGATGGTGGGGACCCCTGTCCCCAGATGGCAGGAACCTCTGCATTTGCATCCTTGCAGCCTGGCACAGTGATTCAATGGTCCAGATTCCTTCTCACTCCTGGTTTCTCATGGCCAGGTCTCCAGGGCAGAGGCAGGGGATGGCTGGGCCCAGAATCAGACCAGGGCTGAGAGGTGAGAGAGGAGGGCGGCACACGCCCTAGCAGTCCTGCCTGGAGCTTGACATAGAATCTGACTTGTGGGCCTCTTCCTTCTTCCCTCTTTTCTTCCCACACATGGTAGGGGGTGGCTACAGCTGGGGGAGGGAAGGCGTGAAGGACGCTGGGGTCTGACCTGCTCCTGGGGCCTCCAGGTCAAGCTGGGCCCTCAGTGTGGTGAGCGCAAGAGAAATCCTCCTCCTACCCATTTCATGGTCGGGGAGTGGGCTTCTGCTCCTGGGCTCTTCCGGCTGCACGGCTAAGGCCCTCCCACTCCCACTCCCACTCCCACTCCCATCCCACCACGCCAGGCAGGGCTCCCTTCCCCAGCCTTGCCTCACAGCCTTGCCTCACAGCCTCGCTTGGCTCTACCCTCACCTTGCACAAAAACGTTCTTCAATTAAAAAGAACATGTGGGCCGGTGCCGCAGCTCACTAGGCTAATCCTCCGCCTTGCGGCGCCGGCACACTGGGTTCTAGTCCTGGTCAGGGCGCCGGATTCTGTCCCGGTTGCCCCTCTTCCAGGCCAGCTCTCTGCTGTGGCCAGGGAGTGCAGTGGAGGATGGCCCAAGTGCTTGGGCCCTGCACCCCATGGGAGACCAGGATAAGTACCTGGCTCCTGCCATCGGATCAGTGCGGTGCTGATTGGTGCCATTGGAGGGTGAACCAACGACAAAGGAAGACCTTTCTCTCTGTCTCTCTCTCTCACTGTCCACTCTGCCTGTCAAAAAAAAAAAAAAAAAAAGAACATGTGAGGGCTGGTGTTGTGGCACAGTGGGTTAAGCCACCACCTGCAATACCAACATTCCGTATCAGAGTGCTGGTTCAAGTCCTGGCTGCTCCACTTCTAGTTCAGCTCCCTGCTGATGGAAACAGGCAGTGAAAGAGGGCCCGAGTGCTTGTGCTGCCCATGTGGGAGATCCCGGTGGGGTTCCAGGTTCCTGGCTTCTGTCTGGCCCAGCCCTGGCTGTTGTGGCCATTTGAGAGAGTGAACCAGCAGATGGAAGATCTCTCTCTGTCCTTCCCTTACTCTATCACTTTACCTTTCAAATAAAGAAATTAAAAGCAAACAAACCCACCTGTGCAACTGTATAATGGGAATCGGCGCAGGGGATATTGTGGGGCTGCCCTTTCAGAGTCTTTCCTGGCTCCCAGCACTGTCCTGGAGGCAGAGGGGGCTTCCCAGCAGGGCCTCTGGAAGGGGGTGCCTTTGAGTTGCAGGGGGGCCCCGTCTTGGTTTTCCCGCTGCACCACCAGCTTAGATTCTCCCCAAGCCCTTCCCTGGCTGTTTCATGGCCACTGCTTCTCCCCAGGAGCCCTGTGCCTTCTGGCTTCTTTAAGAGCTCTCAGAACTCCCACCCACCCTGTCACCCCGCACCCCTGCGCACACGAGGCAGAACGCGGGGTCAGCAGCAAGTCCGTGCCGCCTTCCAAGGGGAGCGGCGTCCCTGCCAGCACCTTGAGTCCGTCATCAGCTTCCACTGAGCCCTGAGTGTGCTGAGCACCGTGCTGGCAGAAGTCTCCGGCTCAGAGAGCAGGATCTGGACAGGAAGGGCGTCTCGGAGGCGCAGGATTTCCACAGGCTGCAGGGTGGGGGTAGACATGGTGGGAACCAAGCGGAAGAGCCGCAGGTATCTGCCCTGGGGCTTGGGCCAGCTGTTGGCTGGTGAGCGGAGAGAAGCCCAGCTGAAAACGAGGGCCAGGGCCAGGGTGGGGGTGCTCCCAGGGACAGGCCATTGAACCTGCTTGAGATGGCACTGAGGAGCAGGGGGAGCCCAGGCCCCTAATCCTCCAGGGAGGCCCAGGGTGTGAGGTCCAGCTTGTCGATGGCTGAGCAGCCCACAAAGCCTTGGGGGAAGCTGTTGGCCTGGAAAGGGTCCAGGGGGACCTTGGTGATGTGGGTGTTGTCGCAGACCAGGCGTGAGAAGGACACTCTCCGCAGAGACTGCTGCTGCTTCTCCGTGAAGACCCCAGGGTTTTCCCACCAGAACCTGCGGAGACACAGGTGCAGCTGCTGGCCCCTCCCCACTCTGCCCAGGGGAAGGAAGGGGGCCTCCCCCAGGGCACTGGGACACCCACCTGGGAGGAGGGCTCCCCGGCCTCCCCAGCCCGTGTCACTTGCCTGTCTCCGTCGCGGATCTGCTGGAACTGCTTGCCCAATAGGCAGGCCAGGAGCGGTCCCACCCGCCCCCTTTCTACCAGGGGCTCTGCGACGGCCCCCACCCAGATGTCGATGTTGTCTGGGGTCCCGTAGAGATGCAGCAACTTCTTGGCCAGCTCTGGGTTCTTCAGCACTGCAGTCAGCTCCTCCAGGGTCCGGGGTTGCGAGAGGCCACAAAAGCCCCTCCAGGAGTTGTACCCTAGGGCGGAGACGCCGAGGCTGTGTCATCCTAGGGAGTTCCTGCTCCCAGCTTGCCCTGGGGACACAGCCGAGACCGTCAGAGCTCACAGCCTTTGGCACAGGGGAGGCAGAGACCGCGCTTTTCTGTCTGTGGCCTTCAGTCTCTGGCAGGTTATGTGGTCCTTACTGTGGTCTGGGCTCTCCTCTAAGACCTGGACAGAGGGGTCAGCTGGGGGACAGCAATGGTGAATGATGTGCCCCAGGCCCTGTGTCTAGAAACCAGCATAGCTTGGAGTTGATTTCCGACAACCTGACGGAATTGCCTTTCATGGCTATAAAAGAAAGAGGCCCAACAGTCAACAGACTCTGTTCTTTTCTTCATCTTTTCTGGACTTTTAAGCTGGTTTTACAGGTTGAATTTTGGTCTTTTTTTTTTTTTTTAACTGAGCAACTCCAAGAGAGAAGCAAATGTATGCTCTTGTTTCTGTGTTAGGGAAAACAGAGGATTCCATTTCATGCATGAATAAAGTGATTTTTCTTTTCTTCTTCTTCTTCTTTTTTTTTTTTTTTGACAGGTAAAGTTATAGACAGTGAGAGAGAGAGAGACGGAGAGAAAGGTCTTCCTTCCATTGGTTCACCGCCCCCCCCCCCCATGGCTGCTACGGCACTGATCCGAAGCCAGGAGCCAGGTGCTTCTCCCTGGTATCCCATGTGGCTGCAGGGGCCCAAACACTTGGGCCATCCTCCACTGCCTTCCCGGGCCACAGCAGAGAGCTGGACTGGAAGAGGAGCAACCGGGACTAGAACCCAGTGCCCATATGGGATGCCGGTGCTGCAGGCGGAGGATTAACCAAATGAGCCACAGCGCAGGCCCCAGAATAAAGTGATTTTAAAAACCAGGGTTGGGCAGTTGCCTAGTGGTGAAGACACATGTTGGGGTGCTCACAGCCATACTGGGGTGCCCGGGCTCAAGTCCTAGCTCTGCTTCCGATTCTATCTTCCTGTTCATGTGCGCCCCGGGAGACAGCAGTTGCTGTCTTGGGTTCTTGGCTCCAGGCTTCATCTTGGCCCAGCCCTTGCTGTTGCAGGAACTTAAGGGTGGATCAGTGGATGGTCTGTCTGTTTGTCTGACTCTTGTTCTCTGTCTCTCAAAGAGAAAAACAAAAACAGCAAAATAAACAACCTGGTTTGCCTTCAGTTTCAAAGTTGGTTGGATCCTCAGGGTTACAGAGGGGGAGTCTCCAGGAGCCCCAGCAAGTAGCTAAAACTTCCTCTAGGCTGGGGAGACCCCAGGCCCACTCACCAGGCTGCCCGTGGTCCCGACAACGCTGTATGTTGATGGCAGCCAGATCAAACCCGTGGATCTTGTGAGTCGGCTGGAAAAGCCTGTTGCGCAGTTCTCCTGTCATCATTTTATCCTGATTCGGCAACTTGGCCTTCTTGGCCAGCAGGCCCCGCACCAGAGGGTCAAGTCCACCTGCAAAGGGAGACCCAGAGGCCTTCCCTAGGTGGGGTAGAGTGGGGACGTGTCCCGCAGCTGACCCCTGGCTCCGGCAGACTCTCAGTGGCAAGCAGGGCCAACTGAACATCTCAGGCTGGAAGCAGGGAGAGAAGAGCCCGGGCAGCATGTGGGGTGCGCTCAGGGGAAGAGGGGAGTCCAGACTGCCCGCGGCGGGGCTGAACACCCAGCTCTAGTCCATGGTGTTGGATCCTTCTCCTTCCATACAACCCTGGGAAAGCACTGCAGCAGCTTAATGAATCCTTAGAGAATGGCCCTGACTTGGGAGGCCTCAACATGGCTCAGCCCAGGGATACAGGAGGGCCAGGTCCAACCTCTGGCCCTGCGTGGAGGCAGAAGGCTTTAGGGGAGATTAGAAGAGGGCAATTTATTAAACAACCAAGGAATTCTTTCTTCAGAGGTCAGAGAAGTCTACCTGGAAAGGAGGAGGGAAATCCTAGGGACCTTAAGAGCCCAAAGGAGAGAAGAAATATGGATAACTAATATTCACTGGTCACCCCTCTGCATCAGGAACTCCTGTGGGGAGCTCTCCATGTGCATTGCATTTAATGCTTTGGATCTGTTCGTGAGACGGGTGTCATTATTGGAGGAGGAATCTGTGGCTCAGCGAGACGAAGGCACTGGCACAGGGTCACACAGGGAGTGCTCCGAGTCTGACTCCAAGCCACGGGCGCTTCCCTGCAAGGGCGTACCATCTTGGATCATCCTCCAGGTGTTGAAGAAGAGGGTGTGCAGGGGGAGTTCCGGTTCCAGGCCCCACGGCTGGTAATTCTCATCCAGGCGAGACACGGTAGGGGGCACCTCCAAGTGGCCGAAGCGGAAGGCAAAGGTGAAGACATTGGAAATTCGGGGATCCACAGATTGGTTGTAGCCTTGATAAGGGGGGATCCACGTTTGCATCTTGTCACCTAGCACGATGGGCAGGTAGTCCCTGAAGGTGATGATCTGGGGGGAGAAACCAGGCGTGAGGAAACTGCGAGAGGCTCACACCTCTGCAGAGCAAGGCTGGAGAAGAACTGTGGCCAAGAGGGATGCAGAGTCAGAAATCCAGGGTGACGAGTAGATAGCATACTTACCGGATTCCCATTCCTGTGACCATGGCAGGCAGAGCTAATCAATCCTATTACTCTTACCTGATTTGTCTCAACAGGGCCCTGGCCATTTGAATTTGGTACTTGAGATGTACTCTCTTTGCCATCTTTGCTCTACATTTGTGACCTTGTGGCTAAAGTGGCAGTCCTGTGTGTCACTTTAAGGTAACATGGTCATATTACTAAACGTTTCTCCATAGGCCAGGCAAGAGAAACAAAGAACAACAGGGATGATTCAGAGGCAACCAAGGGAAGCTCATCCAATCCTCAGTTCTGAAAGAAACGTGGCACCATGGAGAAACTGGTTTTTGGTTCTGCTTTTACTCAGAAACAAGGAACTAGCACAAATACAAAAAAAAAATTCAGAATAGAAATATCAGGTCTCCATGTAACATAATAGTTACAGCAATGTTAATTTTTTGCCCTTTCTTTCTAGTTTTTGTATATATGATACATATTTTAATGCAGCAATAATCCTGGAGAATGCATCCCTTTGAATTTCTGCTTTTTCACTAAATTTTCCCACATTTCTACCTGATTTCTACTATTAGTTTAAATTTGTTTAATTAGTGTATTTGAAAGATAGATACATGAAAGAAAGAAAGAGAGAAAGAAAGAAAAAGAAAAAATTTCCATCTGCTGGTTTATGCCCCCAAAGCCCACATCAGCTGGGGCTGGGCCAGGCCAAAGCAAGGAGCCAGGAACTCAGTCTAGGTCTTCCACATGGGTGGCAGGGACCCAAGCACTTGAGTCATAACCGGATGCTTCCCAGGGTGCACATTACCAGGAAGCTGAATCAAAAGTGAAGGGACTTGAACCCAGGTATTCCAATATGGGATGTAGGTGTGCCACGTATCATCCTAACTGTGCTAAACACCCACTCACACTTACTTTATTTTTTTTTCCAGTTTTTTTTTTTATTTAATAAATGTGAATTCACAAAGTACAACTTTTGTATTGTTGTGCCCCCTCAACTTCCCTCCCTCCCGCGGCCCTCCCCTCCCTCACTCCCTCTTCCATCCTGCCCTTCATCGAGTGTCATTTTCAATTACCTTCATATACAGAAGATCAACTTAGTATACACTAAGCAAGGATTTCAACAGGCTGCCCTCACACAACCGCACAAGGTATAGGGCATTGTTCAACTAGTAGTGTTGTTTTTAAGTTTCATAGTAAAACACATTAAGGACAGAGATCCTATGTGGAGAGCCTGTACTCAGTGACTCCTGTTGCTGATTTAACAATTGGCACTCTTATTTATGACATCAGCAATCACCCGAGACTCTTGCTATGAGCTGTCTAGGCTATGGAAGCCCCTTGAGTTCACCAACTCTGAACTTGTTTAGTCAAGGCCATATCACAGTGGAGGTTCCTTCCTCCCTTCAGAGAAAGGCACCTCCCTCCTGATGGCCTGTTCCTTCTGCTGGGGTCTTGTTCACCAGGATCTTTCATTTAGATTGTTTTTTGCCACTGTGTCATGGCTTCCTATGCCTGCACTCACACTTACTTTAAATGTGTGCAACCTTCTATTGCATTCACTGGTCATTCTCTTACTGATTTATGTTGCTTCTGGTTTGTTGAGTGGCATAGCCTGAGGGGTTCACATGGAGCAGCCAGCACGAGATGGTCCCCTGGCTGTGGCGGCAGTGGCTGGCCCAGCTGTGGCACCAGATCAAGCTGGGGAGACAGGTTCTCTCTCCCAGGAATTTAGATTTTGGAAGCAGCTGTTCTAGACTGTTCCAGAAGGTGCTTGATCTGAGCGCGCGGGGGGCTCATACAGGTGGTCATTTTCTGCCATGTTCTGAAAAGCAGAGAAAACCCATTTACAGAGAAAGCAGAGAACAATGGGGAAGCAGAGAGAGGAGCCAGCAGGAGGAAGAGCCAGAGCCAAAGCGCCTGGCCTAATCCGGATGGTTTCTAGTCCCTGGCTGCAACTCTTGGTGAGGGTTTGGGTTCCAGGAGAAACGTTTGTCATCTCCCATGTGACACATATATAGGGTTGCCCCAATGCTGAACATCTGAATCAGGCCAATGAAGTTTCTTTTTTCTTGTAGTCCACAGAGCCTTGTAATGAACTAACTGTGCCTTCCCCTCTCCCCCCATTCCTGGGTTGAAGCCCTAACCAATGCGGCCACATTGGTGGACAGGGCCTTTAAGGAGGGAATACAGGCTAAAGGAGGTCGTAAGGATGGGGCCCTCGCCCAGTGTGGCTGACGACTGTGTGAGCAGAGAGAGGGACACCAGGAGGACTCGCTCAGGAGAAGGCCGTGTGACGCGGGGGGAAGACGGCCTCCTGCAAGCCAAGTGCACGGCCTGCAGGGGCACCTGGACTTCCAGCTCCAGGACCGTGAGGCAACGCTGTTGTCTGAGCTTCTGCTCGCTGGCATTTCATTGCTGCAGCCTTAGTTAAAATAATCCGAGCCTTGCCTCTTCAAATTTCAGGCAGGCATTTTCTGCTATGTTGGGTGACTCTCTGCAAACATCTCCAGCAGCAGTGTTTCTGGGTCCAACCGTTAAATAATAAATTTTGAATTGTGGAGATTTTGAGGAAGAACACCTGGGGAGAGAGCTCTGTGATGGCTAGCGGGATGTGGAAAGGGCGCTTGGCTCTAGAACAAGGTGCGGCAGAGTCACTCTGCCGTGTTCCTGTCCACCCAGTCTATAACAAAACACCCGGGAATGATTCAACAGGCAATGAGAAAGAGACCCGGGAGGCTGGAGGAAGAGGGGGGACTGCAGGGATCGCAGTGTGAGTTCCTCCAGACTCTCAGACTGGGTTCAGGGGAGATGGCAATCTCAGAACTCCAACAGGAATAGAAAAAAAAAGTCAAGAGAAAGGGACTGGGACAAGGAGAGCCAGGTGGGACCCCCACCCCCATGTCACAGTGTCCACCAGCTCTGGCCACCCTGTCCCGATCCACGTTCCAGGCTGGTGGACGCTCTGATGGGCCTGCAGTGGCGGCATCAGTGAGGCCCTGTGTCTCTTCACCAAGGAGATCCAGGTACAGTGGCATCTGCTCCCCTAAAGGTTGCTTAGCAACGGCAGGCAGCCAGAAAGGTACCTTCCTGCCTCGCAGAGAGCACCAGCCGGGGTGGAGTAGGAAGCGCAGAAGCACCCGAAGCATGTGGGAGACCAGACTAGCAGGGCAAGGCTCAGGAAGCCAAGCTACCATCGGAACAGAAAACCCACAGAAGTCATCCAGAGCCTCCATGCTAACCCTAAGCCAGGTCGCCACATGCTGAAACAGAAAATAGAATCAAATCCTCGCACAGTCACCCAAATGTCCAGGATCCAACTGGAAGTCCCTCCTAACACCGAGCACCAGGAAAGCTGCATTGGAGTGAGGAAGATCATCACCCAACATCAATGCCAACATCAGTCACATACTGAAATTATCTGCAAAGAAAGATATTGAAGTGGACTTCCTAAAAGTGCTTCAAAAATCAACAACCGATTCTCTTGAAACAAATACAAAGCAAGGATATCTTAGCAAAGAAGTAGAAATTATAAACAAGTCAAATGAAGTTACAGAAGTGAAAATACACTGAGATAAGAGAACACCTGGCGGGGGGTGTTGTGGTGCAGTGGGTTAAGTTGCCAATTTTGATGCCAGTCTACCATATCAGAGTGCCTGATTTGAGTCCCAGCTGCTCCGCTTCTGATCCAGCTCCCTGCTCAAGTACCTGGAAGGCAGAGGATAATGGCCCAAGTACTTGGACCCCTGTCACCCATGTGGGAGAAGAGGTTAGAGTTCCTGGCTCCTAGCATTGGCCTGGCCCAGACTTGGCTGGCTGTTTGGCCATTTGGTGAGTGAATCAAGATGGAGGATCTCTCTCTCTCTCTCCCTCCCTGTCTCTCTCTTTGCCTTTTGAATAAATGAATAAACAGATCTTTAAAAAAAGAAAAAAAGAAAAAAACTCGGGTAGAATCAGTAGTACAGTGAACACGACAGAGAATAGAGTTGAATGCAAATGGAAAGAATTTATTGAAGTTGGATAAGAGAGAGAAAATAGACTCCAGGCAAACCAGAACATCAGCATTCTATGGAACAACAACAAAAGATCTCTTATCAATGGAGTCCCAGAAGTAGAAGACCAAGGGGGTGAAACAAAAAATATTTGAAGAAACAATTCCTGAAACTGTCTCCAAATTGGTGGAAGACATATAGATTGAAGCAGAGTTTCATGCAGAAACTTATACACGAATGGCCACAACAGCATTATTCATAGTAGCTCCTAGCTGGAAACTTGTCAAACGCCCTTATAGGTGAAGAATAGTTAAGCAAACAATGGTCCATCCACACTGTAGAAGCCTACTCCGCAAAGAAAGGAATGAACTATCGCTACGTGCAACAAGTTGGATGAATCTCAAAAGATTGCATAGTGCATGATTCCATTTACGTAAGGTTTATGAAACAGCATAACTATGGAGACGAAGAACAGATCAGTGGATCTGGGAGGAGCAGGGCTGCTGTGGCTTTATTCTAAAGGGGTGGCATGAGGGAGTCTGTGGCTGATGGGACAGTTAAGTATCCTTGTCATGGTGGTGGTCACACAAAACCACACACGTGATGAAACGGCACAGAGCTACACAGACAACACCCTGCCCCTGCCACACACACACACACACACACACACACACAACTGCATTCCCAGTGGGTGAAACCTGAATACGCTCTATGGTTTGTAGGAATGCCAGCTGCCTGGCTTTGCTCCTGTACCACGGTTATGCACAATGTCAGCACAGGGGAAGCTGCATGAATGGGGCGTGGGACCTCCTCCTTATACATTTTGTGCAACTTTCTAAGAATACGTAATTCTTTTGAGATAAAATGTTTTTAAAAATATGTGCCCGGGTAATATCAACACGTCAGCCCCTCTAAGTCTCCGCGAGTTGGTGAGTCAGCCAAGCCACAGGACCCGTTGAGTATGCGCACGACCTGCAGCTTAGGTGCAGGGACTTCAAAGGGAAGCAAAGCCACTCAGAACAAACCCAGTCACGGCTGGGTAGCAATCCCAGGGGTGACGGAGCCCACGACGCCCGTGATGGCAGCAGGGCAGGGGCCACTGATGCAACCAACACCTGAACTGACTTTCCCACACACCGTATCTGGGCATTCGATTTTGGACCGAGATGCCGAAGAAGCGAAGAGAGGCAGGGCTCAGAAGAATGAGGCCAGGGAGGAGAAGGGAAAAAGAGGAGTGTGGGGAGCAGGAGGTTGGCTGCAGGTGTGGCACGGAGCGGAGGGCAGAGCTGCGAGCGGGTGCCCGGTGGGCGTGGGCTCCCGCGCCTCTGTACCTGAATGAAGGCTCCCAGGATTTTGCGGGCCTCCTGGTAGAGCTTCTCCCCACCCCACTGCGGGTTGAGTGTCTTCAGTTCCCTCGCCAGCCGGTTGTGCTCCCGCAGAAGGAGGGTGTGAGAAGCAGCCAGCAGGGTCTGCTCCGAGGCTCGGGAGTCTCCTGCAAGCCCCGAAGGCAGGAAGCTATATTCTTCCAGAGCAGCCCCAGGACCCAGCCACCTGCACCAAGAAATGGTGGCGCCCCCAGGACCCTCTCCTAAGCTCCTCCTTCCAATTAACTTAAGGGAAGTCAGTTGGAGAGGCGTGGGGGAGGGGCAGGTGGGGATCACTGGCCTGAGTCTCAGTTCTGTACTCACACTTTCAGCTCTGTGGCTTTGAGCAAGTTACTTGACATGTCTGGGCCTCAGTCTCCCTATCTGGGAAAATGGGGAGAATATGGCTTGCTACACAGAATCGTGGGGGAGGCCTCAGGTGATGTACTAAAAAACTAAAATTAGCAGGAACCTGGAATTGGAAGTGGAGCCAGGACTCAAACTCAGCTACTTGGATCTAGAATGAGGGCATCCCATGCAGTGTCTTTAACTGCTGGGTCCAACACCCACTGCTACACTCATCTTGCAATTGCATTTACCACCACCTTTTGGAATCTAACACTGGTGCTTAGATTCTTCCAGCTGGGCCCTTTGTCCAGTCCTGAACCAGGGCCAGCTGTGGCTCGGTATGCCTTTCTCCTGGAAGATGACTGCCAAAGCCCCCTGGGTGAGCTCCTTTTCCTGGACCCTTCTGGTCCCGGCCCAGACTCACCCGCCAGGAAGCAGGGCACGCGGGCAGTGGCGTTGATGACCTCGCAGGGGCTCGGCTTCTTGCTGTCAAAGGGCAAGTAGGGCAGCCCGTGGTCTGAGACCTCCTGGTTGACGGCCATGAGCCCCAGGGGGCTGCTGAGGTTGCGGAGGCGGCTGGCCAGGCCGGGCTCGGGGCCGTACACGAGGCTGGCGTCCAGGAAGGAGGTCAGAGCGTTGATCTGCTCTCTGGCCAGGGACTGGAAGGGCGGAGTGGGGCAGACGAACCCGGCCCGGAAGAAAGGCATGCACTGCCCTTGAGTCTGCACCTTGGGGTCGTTGGGTGGGAACTGCAGAGAGATTGGGGTGGGTGACTGGGCAGGGGAGGCACCGTGGGGCCCTGACAGCTTCTCCCTAAGGCCAGTTTGGTTGCAAAGACGGCAGTGGCGTCCTTCTAAGACCTTGGTATCAGACACTGTCCCCAGATGCCTCCTGCCACTGTGCCATTTCCTAAGCCCGTAGTACCCTGAAATTCATGACACCTGCTGTCTAAGCTTTCATTTCTCCTGGCAGGGGCTCTGAATTTTGGGTGGGAAGGAGGTCCTGAGATCCCTGGACAGGAAACCAGGATATGAGATAGGAAAGGGTCTGTTAATAACTACTATGTAACAGCTACACTATTTGGGGCCTGCTATGTGCCAGGTATTAAGCATCCTTTATCCCACTGTGGTCCCCCTAAAACCCTGTAAGGTAGACAATTCAGATCCATTTTACAGGTGAGAAAACTGAGGCTCAGATAGATTAAGTACCTTGCCTAAGAACCCACACACAAGAAAGGGAAAGATGTGAGATCCAGAAGCCGGCTGCATTCCACGGCTCCTGCTTTTTATACCACGGTGCACAGCCCTAACAGCTGTTTGAGTGAATACCCGACTCTCTAACCGTAAAACCCAGGAACAAGAAGTAGGGCACACTTCCTGTCCCTGCTGGAAAGTCCCCCAAATCCCTGCTGCTCACTCTGATGTGGCTATGATGTCTCAGCTTCTTCTAGGAAGTGAGGTCATCCTTACAGCCGATGACGTCGTGGCGTACAGCAGTGTGCCAAGAGCTTCACCGTGTGTACTGCAGCTCTCCCGGGGGCCCAGTAAAATGTGGGCTCTCTCTGCCAGCATCTGGGGTGAGGCTTGAAATTCTGCATTCCTTAAAAGCCCCCAGGTGGTATGGCTCCTCTCCAGGGCCTCCCAGTGTTGGCCCTTTGTCCTCACTTCGCAAGACTTGGTGCTTAGTGTGAGTGAAGAAGTGGATGGATGAGGCCTGGGGGCTACCCAGAGAGCGCTCAAGGCCTACCGCAGGTGCTACTTGATGGATGGGCTGGGGATGTCTGGGGCTTGAGGGTGACCCCCCCAGGGCGGGGCCCTACCGTGATGGGGAAGCAGTTGCCTCTCTGGACGCACGACTCCTCGCACTGAGCTTTGGAGAGCTCGCTGCTGCCCAGCTCGGTGTCGGGGGCAAAGTCCAGGTCGTGGTCCACGACCTGACCCCACTGCACGAACAGCAGAGACCTGTGCTGGTCCAGAACACCTTCCTCGCTCAGATAGCCTGCGATCTCGTTGGATACCTTGCGGGCCTACAGATGGAGACACAGCGGAGGGCAGGCTGGAGAATTCAAGTTTAGCTGCAGGCTATTGAGTGCCTAGGATCAGGTGCATTTAGCCTCCAGGAGGAGCTTGCAAATCCAAGAGAGGTGCAATCAGTTCTCCAAGAGCCTGCTGTGGCAAAGGGGCAGGGACGGGCTTGAACCCGGCTCTGCACGAGCCAGTGCCAGTTCCACTCCCGGGAGGAAAACAGACAGGCTGCCTCTGACATAAAGGCACCGAGGTGCCAGGTGCCTGGGAATGGGAGCTGGGCTCGGGGGAGCGGCTGTCAGTTCAGATGAGGCCAATAGACATGACCTCCAGGCAAACAACAGCTGATGCACGCTAGGGGCTGGGGCAGAGGAAACGGGACAGAACGGGACAGGGAGGCCATCTGCCCAGAGACCCCAGGGTGTCTGGCCTGCAGCACCTGGGACGTGCCTGGCGCGGGGCTGGGCTTCAGGCTCTGCTGCCCTCCAGTGGCACTGTGGGGGAGCACCGCCAGGGAGCGTCCCTGTCTCTGGCCGGCGCTGGTGTCTGGGCGGTGCACCCTGCCCCACCCCGCCCGCCCTCACTGGGCCGTCAGGTGCCTGCCCTCACCAGCGGCAGAGGGAAGCCATTGCGCGTCTTCCCGGGCGTCCAGCCGAAGGGGAGGGAGAGCCCGTCCTCGTACTCGGCCGGCAGCCAGCGTGCCAGTGCCCTGTTGGCGGCGCCCAGCGTGGGCTCCCTCCTGCAACCAGCGAGACTGCGCTCAGTCCGGCCGGCCCCAGGTTCGAAGCCCAGGAGCCAGAGTGGGAAGGGGTGGAAGGGCCTCTCACATGCCCCTCAGCCCTGGGGATCGGGTGGGCCCGGGAGCAGGTGCGGAGTCCTCGCCGCTTGCCTGGTGCGGTCACCTGTTGTTGCAGTGCCCGGTGATGGTGCGGTAAGGGCTGTCCACGTCGCATTTCACTACAGGCGCCGGGCCATCACAGCCCACCTCCCGGGAGAGCAAAGCCAAGTCCAGGCTGGGGCCTGAAACAGAAGGGGGTTGTTTTGTCTCCATTCTGAGGGCCTGGGGAATCGCAGCTGGGAGTGTCCACTGGGCGTTTTAGAACAAGAGCACAGCACAGCCTCAGTAAGTCCCCAGACACAGCTGGCTTCCACGTCCCTTCCTCTGGCAGAAGTGAGGACCCTGGCTTGAGACAGGGGCACGCGTGCGCGGCTTTTAGCCTTATTTCTAGCAGAGGCCCTGCAGGTGGGATTACTCCCGGGGCACTGATATCCATTAGGAGTTGGTGATGAGGCTTTGCTATGTGGGAGTTCCTTCTCCCCCTAAAAGGGCAGTGGCTTAGCCGTCTGCTAAGCTGCTCCTGGATCTGCCCACCTGGACCACGGTTCCAAGAAGGAAGCCACCGAGTGCTTCTGGGAGCTCAGAACTGCTCCTAACAGCCAGGGACTCTGCTCTGTCCCACGGGACAACGGTCCTGCCTGGCCATCAGAGGGCTCCTGGGTTCCCGTACCTGTGACGTTGGACAAGGACGCCTCCTGCCTCAGTCTCTTATAGGACTCCTCCCACACCTGCCCACTGCGGATGGCCGTGCGGGTCCTGCCCCTGGCGTGCTTGAAGTACCCCGAGAGCTGTGGGCTGGTGGGCGTCTCGGAGCTCATGGTGGCCTTCATCCTACAGTGCAGAACAGAGCAGTGGGACATCCTGACCTGGTCACTGTGGAAGGGGTTGGTGGCCCAGCAGAGGGACCCGAGGTGGTGTGGGTGCAGCCTGCGGGAAGCCGATGTTTGTGCACTCGGCGGCCCATCCTCTGCATCCTGGGAGAGCGCCTGTGGGAGGACCAGGCGTCCGTGGTATTGATCTTTGTTAGGTATGGTTCTGACGGAAGGCCGGCAGGTGGACAGCCGAGGCTCCCGGGATCTGTGGCTGGGATGTTTCAGAAGCAACTGGGGAACCCCAAAACCACACAGGTCCCCGGGCATCCTTATTCAGATTGAGGAACCCTGGCCTGTGGCTGGCGTGCCATCAGACCTTAGGAGAATTCTAGAAATAAGGCGTTCCTGGGGCTCCAGCTCTGCCTTGAAATCATCCCCCCCCCCCCCCTGCCCCGCACCTGACCTGGGAGCTGGTGTGGGGTTTGGCTGTGGCCCAGGGCTGCACATCCGGGGCAAGCGGCTCAGCCTTGTTATTCTTTGATGTTCCATGTGGAACGTGAGAAGCCAAAATCCTTCTTCTGTGACAACACAGAGGTGACCAAGGGCGAGGTGTCAGGGGAGTCCCCCATGACGACCTCGTGCCTCAGTTTCCTTGTGTGCGAGATGAGAGGACTTCTCACAAAGATGACTCTGCTTGGTGGGTACAGCTGCCTGACTTGTGACTACATAGCGGGCCAGCACCTCCGTTGAAAGTGCAGGAGGACACCATGTTCCAGCCTGCAGGACCATGGGGTGAGCCAGGCAGGCACCAGGGGGACTGTGGTGACTGGGCTCCTAGCAGGCCTCCTCCCCCCCAGCCTCCCTGCGCTCTGGAAAAACTCAAATCCAAGAAATAAGCCACATGCTCTTTGCTGCTGTTCCAAGAGATGGGGTGGCCCGGTGCCCAGGGTGCTGCCTTGTCTGTGTGGTGACAGCCAGCCCCAGGTATTTAAGTAGAAATACATTGAAGTTGACTGCAGTGAAAAACTCAGCTCCTCACTTGCACTGGCCAACTTCAAGTGCTCAGTGGCCACGCGTGGTCAGGGCCTGCTCTATCGGACTGACAGTCACAAGGCCCTTTATCATCACTGAGTGTTCTGTTGGACCAGGCTGGCCTAGAGCAGGAGCCCCGAGCCAGCCAGACCCTGGTTTGAGCTCCAGTTCCACCAGAACTGGTTGAATGAAGTGCCTGCTGAGTGATTTTCTCCTCACCTATGAAGCGGGAGTCATAATTTATTCCATTGGAGACTTACATGTGGCCTTAGCAACAGATGGGCTGAATTTGACTCCTGACGGCCACATGCTAGCTGTGTGTGCCTTTGGGCAAGCGATGAGGACACTGCTAGCAACCATAGGCTGACCCATGTGGTTTGATCACAGTGGGCTTCAGAAACAGCTCTTAGGACAGTCGGATTCAGGACTCCGTGGGATTTAGTGAGGAATGAAGGGAAAGCACTTGGAGCTGCACCTGGCACGGCGTGGAACTCACAGGTGTTGGCGTCACCGTCGCCATGGTCCGGTGAGCCCCGGCTTGTTGGGATTCCCAGGTCCTACTCTGAAGGTCCCCAGTAAGATCCTCCATGCTCCTTCTTTCCTGCCTCCCCCTGCCTGGGCTCTGTGCCCCCCTGCTGTCCCCAGGGCTCACCCCCTGCTGTGTTCCGGCACTGGGGTCACCAGCGTTACCCCCCCCCCCCGCCCCCGGGGTCAGAGAACCAGGCCTGGAGGGAGGGACCAAGAAAAGGAAAGCAGCCCATGCTTCCTCCTCTCCCTCCAGGCCTGGGGCGGCTCTGAGGGGAGGGAAGCCAGGAGCCTGGGGCTTTGGGTCCTTGTGCTGCACCTGCAGGTATCAGGTGCCTGGGCGTTAGGGAGGAGCTGCAGTACCTGCCCCAGCCCTGCACCTGCAGCAAACGAACACTCCCCTGCCTGGCTCCAGAGCTCTCCTGCGAGAGGCTCTGAAAGGCACCTTGCACTCCAGCTCTCCGTGTGGGGCCAGGCTGAGGCCTAACTCGTCCCTTGTGCTTCTCTGGCTTGCCCCAGGCCACTGCAGCGACCCTGACAGTTCTCCCTTTATACAGTACCTCCTCCTGACTCCAGGGCAGGACCCAAGTCTGTCACTGTTAGTGACATTGAATGCACAAGTTCTACCAGGGAGCTTCCTGGGACTCTGGAATGTGTGACCCATAGAAGCAGAGAGTTCGTACAGGATTAGATGAGCTGTCCTCTTCCAGGAGCCTTCAGAGTCGACGCTGTCAGGGGCTGTGAGCTATTGCTCCCACTTGCCACATTCTTGCGAGGTTTGCACAAGGGCGGGTTTGAGCCTCGCTGTGGCTCTCTGGTTTGTCAGGGCTGGCCTGGATGTTCTCATCGGACGTACCTGATTCGGGAATCCAGGAAGGCCTTGTTGACTTGGACCTTGGCCTGACTCACAGCATCAGAGATGGCCACAGCACTGGAGGTCCCTGCTGGGGGGCACAGAGGAAGAAGAGTATCAGACAGCACTCCCATGGGATGCTGTCTGTTTCTGCATCCCTCTTCGTCAGCCATCACGTCCGCCTCTCAAGTCTGAGCAGGCAGGAGACCCAAGATCAGGAAGCTTCCACCAGCGACCGAAAGACGGAAATCTCAGAATGGGATGGATACGCCTGCATCTTCATTTAAATGTCTGGAGTGTGCCTTGGGATTTCAGGGACCTGAGCATAGCCACTGTGGTGGCCTCGGGCTGTGAGGCGCTGGGGAGTTCTCTGGTTCCTGGAGAGGTGGTCCCACGGGCTCTCAGGCAAGCCCATCCCAAAGCCCACTGACCACCAGTGCCCTGACTGGGGAAAGCCGTGGTGTTGGGGGGTGGGGATTTCTTGTTTGCACTCATACTGGGGTTTGTAGTGGGGGAGCTGTATCCCTTCTCGGGATGAGGAGAATGTCGTGGGTTAAGTGGTGTCCACCTGAAGTTCACATGCATCTGGCACTGGATTTGGAATTAGAATCTTTGCAGATGTAGCTAATTCAGATGCGGTCACACTGGATTAGGGTAGGCCCCAAATCCTGTAACTGGTGGGTGTTGTAGGAAAAGGGGAAGACACCAGGAAAGGCCGTGGGCAGAGACTGGTAGGATGCGGCTACTGGCCAGGGACTACCAAGGATGCCAGGAGCCACCAAGGGAGGATCCTCCTCCAGAGGCGCATGGCACCTGCCCACACCTTCATTCTGCATTTCTCACCCCCTGGACTGCCAGAGGGTGACCGTCCGCTGTCCTCGGTCACCTGGCATTTGACCTTTGGTACCACGGCCCTGGACAGGCACTTACTTGTGGTGGACGCTGCAGCCTGGAGCAGGATCAGGGAAGCCAGGAGGGCCGGGCCGCGGAGAAGGAGCCTCATCACTGAAACGAGATGCGGGGCCGTGTGGGGAGCCCAGGAGGAGAAACTGAGTCACAGAAGGCCAAGCCCTGCAGGGGCACCGGCTGCCCTAACGCGGGGACAGGGAAGGCATGGCCACTTCCACTCACTAAGCATCTGTTGGGTGCTGGGGAGGATGGAAAGAGGTGACGATGGAAGAGAGAGAACTCGGGCTTCTGGGGCTGAGGCCTGCCCCATGGCTTGGCATCTGCTCTAGCGACCATGACCTTGGGCAGCTTACTTAATGTCTTGGGCTCCTGGCCTGCTGAGTGACGGGGTGGGACCAAGTGCCTCAGGGTTTCCAATATTGCCCTGACAGCCTCTAATCCTGAGCTTTCTTTTTATTTTTAAAAGATGTATTTATTTGAAATGCATAGTGACAGAAAGAGAGAGATCTTCCATTGCTGGTTCACTCTCCAAAAATCTGCAGTGGTTAGGTCTGGTCCAGGCTGAGTGAGGAGCCAGGGACTCCATCTGGGTCTCCCATGTGGGTGTAGGGGCCCGAGTACTTCTGCTGCCTTCCCAGGTGCATTAGCAGGGAGCTGGGTTGGAAGCAGAGTACCTGGGACTTGAACTGGCGCTCTGATATGGGATGCTGGCATTGCAGGTGGTAGCTTAATCTGCTGTGTCACAACCCCACCCCCAGTCCTGAGGTCTTGTGCCTGTCTCGTCACAGGCCTGCAAAATGCTGTCACGAAGCCTGGACCGTGCCTCCAGCGCTCTCCTCCTCCATGCCCTCGGGGTGTCTTCCTGCCTGCCTGCCAGCCCTCAGGCCCAGCGCCAGCCGAGTGCCTGAGAGGCAGACCGTAGGCTCCCTTCTTCTGCCAGAGGCTCCATTCGCCTTCAAGAAGCCAATTTGAGGGGCCGGCCTGGGACTGGACATTCAGGCCTAAGTACAAATTCAGATCAGCTGCAGTTAACAGGCATAAGATGCTGGGAACAAAGTGAAGACCCGAGAGCCCTGGCTTGGGGAACCCCTTAAAACACTGCACAACTCCCATGATAGTGGCTAAGTCATGTTCTATCAGACAAGTCTCAAAAATGCACAGGGGCCTGCACCAGACAAGTCTCAAAAATGCACAGGGGCCTGCACTGTGGTGCAGTGGGTAAAGCTGCCACCTGAGACCCCAGCATCCCATATGGGTGCTTTTCCGATCCAATTCCCTGTTAATGTGCCTGGAAAAGCAGCAGAGGATGGCCCAAGTGCTTGGCGCCCCCGCAGCCATGTAGGAGACCTGGAAGAAGCTCCTGGCTCCTGACTTCAGCCTGGCCCAGCCCTGGCTGTTGCGGCCATTTGGGAAGTGAACTAACAGATGGAAGATTTCTCTGTCTCTCCCTCTCTGTAACTCTGCCTTTCAAATAAATAAAATAAATCTTAAAAAAAAAAAAAGAATATACACAGAGCACCATTCTGTAGCTGCCCCCCTCCCCGTGTGACCCTGGACACTTATTTCCTAGGCCTCACTTTCCAAGCAAGATGGATACGTGAGGTCTAGGATACCTCCTGGCTTTCAGGATTACGATGCTGTGAGCACAAAGTCCTTTTGTCCCGCAGTAGATTGAGTCACATTTTCCCCGTACACCAAACTGGGATGACCTGCAGTGCTAAATCTGGCACCAGCAAATGTCCCAGGAAGGCAGGTCCAAATGCAAGCCAAGCTTTCTGAGAAGCCTTTAGGAAATGTCATCACCAGCCTCGCAGATACCAGGAAAGATTGAGGTTAACAAGTCTTACCTGCCAAGGGCTTTGACCTCCTGTGGCAGCCAGCAGTGCTGCTCTGCTGGGAGGAATTGGTCTTTTATACCTTCCAGCAAGAATTTATTTCAGGGAAAGGCCAGAGGAGAGGTTTCAAGGGACTGGCATGGCTTGGTGGAAACACTCAGGTTCAGCAGGAAACACCCTGTGACTCCAGGTAGATGCACGAGGAAACTGTAGAATGGCCAGGATTCGTAATGCGATGGCGCTGACGCTGGGTAGAGCAATTCCTCTTCTTCGCATTTTTCAGCTTAAATGTGTGGCCCTGAGCTAGTCATGGAAGACAAAACTCCAAGCTCTGGGCTCTCTAAAGCCCTGGATTGTGTCTGAATAGCTTTTTTTTTTTTTTTAAGATTTTATTTGTTTATTTGAGATACACACACACAGACAGAGAGAAAGGTCTTCCATTCACTGGTTCACTCTCCAAGTGGCTGCAATGGCCAGAGCTGGGCCTATCTGAAGCCAGGAGCCAGGATCTTCTTCTGGGTTTCCCAAGTGAGTGCAGGGGCCCAAGCACTTGGGCCGTTTTCTACTGCTTTCCCAGGCCATAGCAGAGAGCTGGATCAGAAGAGAAGCATCAAGGACTTAAACCAGCACCCATATGGAATGCCGGCGCTGCTGGCAGAAGTTTAGCCTACTGTGCCACAGTACTGGCCCCTGAATAGCTCTTAAAATCAAAAACAGTTAGGAGTGTTTGGCATAACAGATAAGCTGCTGTGTGAGATCTTACGTCTCACACTGGAATGCCTGAGTTCCAGTCTTAGAAGGCAGCAGGTGATGGCTCCAGCCTTTGTGTCCCTGCCACCCATGTGGGAGACAGACCTGAATGAGTTCCTAGCTTCTGGCTTCTCTCTGGCCCAGCCCTGGCTGCTATGGGCCTTCGGGAAATGAACCAGCAGATGGAAGATGTGCATGTGTGTGTGCGTGTGTGTGTGTGCATGTACGCACGGATCTGTACTTCTTTATGAAATTAGACTTTGAGTGGAAAACACTCTGGGAAGATTGTTAGAAATTCATCAGCCAAGCCCAGATCCCTTGGTTTACCTTCAAAAAGGGGCTATCCTTTTCTCCAGCCAATGGAATCTGTGTGAAAAGCATTTCTCTCGTGATGATCCCAGGCAAATGAGCCAGGCACCTCAGTAGAAGGCAGCTGTCCAGGAAAGGTGAGTAAGATTTTTCTTTGAAATGTAGTCCAGCTCCTTAACCAAGCACTGCTTTTCTCTACCTGACCGTTTCCTGCATGTGACGCCTGCGTCTCAAGTTTCTTGCCTGCGAGTTTTATGCCTTGTAGCTTGAGGCAGCTGTGTGTTCGGACAGTTGGTTCTGAATGATTTCACGATGGAGGTCCCTTTTAGAAGACCTTATGGGATCACACTGCTTCTCATGGTCAGTGAGCCACTGGGGTCAGGGTGACAGTAAAACACAAGTGTGACCATCCCTGGTCTTTGTCATGCTATGACATGACGGATCTGTCTCTGCAGGGAAGGCGTGGTCAGCGCCAGCTCAGTGTGGTCCTCCCTTGGATCCTGGTACGAAGCGTGTGGGGGGCTGTCACGGTGGACATGGCACCATCCTGGAGCCAACTTGTACTTCCAGAGCTTTGCTAACGTGCGATGACGCGTTTTTGCGGGCTCATCTCAGTTTAGCCAAATCTGTTTCGTACAGGGCGCTGCCTCCCCATCAGGGAATGGCAAAATGGCCTGAGAAATGGAGACTGGAGGATGAAAAGCTGGGAGAAGGCTGGAAAGGCCAAAGGGGCCTCCTGTCAGCACAGAGGCTTCAAGCTGTTTCAGCAATGGCCGTGGCAGCGACAGCAGGAGGAGGAGAGGGCGCCCAGTGAGGATAATAAGGTCCACCACTGGCACAGGGCGGCACACCCCCACTCACCCACCTCCCCCGCACAGACCCTACTTCACAGGAATTCACGCCTATGCTTGAAGCTGGCCTCCGGCAGGATTGTGACCTTTGTCACCTCCAGACTTAGACTGCAGCCTCTGGCGGGTGACAGAGTGACCATTCTGTGTATCTGAGGGGACTGGAACCCTCACTCTGGGCCATGGCCTTCCAGCCATCCCCAGGCACCGTTCCTCAGAAGCCCAGTTGGGCTTCTCTTTAGCTGCTCCTTTTCACCCCTCCCGCTGCCTGGCGGGGAGGGGGCTTTTCCTTTCTGGCTGAAAGGCATTCGCTGTTGCAGCTTCCTGGAACATCAAACAAGGCAGCATCTTGAGGCCCGGCCCGGAGGGCTCTCTGGGCCCGGGTTTACTCCCTCCCTCTGGGTCTCATCCACTCGTTCCGTCCTCAGAGGAGGGAGGAGCCCAAGCACCCGGCTGAAGCCATCCTGGGCTCTGGAGGGTGTGGGGATGGCAGAGTTGCTCTGAGTGGCAGCCCTGGGAGGCACAGGCCTTTTCAGACGGCCCGCTTCCGGAGAGGAGAGAATCTGGCTTGGATGTGTGTCCTCTCCGATAGAGAGAGCGAGGATCTGCTGTCTTCTTTGAGTATTTTTTATTAGGAGAGTTGATCAGATTTTGAAAACTTTTTTTTTTTTTTTACAGATTTATTTATTTATTTGAAAGGCAGAGTGACAGAGAGGCAGAGAGAGAAAGAAAGAGAGAGAGAGAGAGAGAGAGAGAGAGAGTCAGTCTTCCATCCTCTGGTTCACTCCCCAAATGGCCACAACAGCAGGAGCTAGGCTCATCTGAAGCCAGGAGCCAGGAGCTTCTTCCAGGTCTCCCATGAGGGTGCAGGGACCCAAAGACTTGGGCAATCTTTCACTGCTTTCCCAGGCCATAGCAGAGAGCTGGATGGGAAGTGGAGCAGCCGAGACTCGAACCAGTGCCCATATGGGATGCCGGCACTGCAAGCAGCAGCTTTACATGCTACTCCTTAGCACTGGCCCTGAAAACTGTTTATTTTTATTTTATTTGAAATGGAGATAGAGATAGAGATAGAGATAGAGATAGAGATAGAGATAGAGAGAGAGAGAGAGAGAGAGAGAGAAATCTTCTATCTCCCTGAATGCCAAGGCAGGGCCAGGCTGAAGCCAGGAGCCCAGAACTCCTCTGGGTCTCCCACGTGGGTGGCAGGGACCCGATTACCTGAGCCATCACCTTCTGCCTCTCAGGGTGCACATCAGCAGGAAGCCAGAAACAGGAACTGAGCTGGGGCTCGATCCCAGGTTCTCTATTATGGGATGTGGGCACCCCAAGCAGCATCTTAACTGCTGTGCCAAACACCTGTCCCCAACTAATCAGACATTTGGCGACCTCCAAGATGGGCATAACCTGGTACCTAGTGAGGTCGTCCGGTCAGCTACAGCATGTTGCGACTGGAGGGCTGGGGCTCGTGCAGGTGCTCCCAGGGAACCAACCAGGCAGGCAGGCAGAGGGAATTCCCAGGATGCAGCCTGGGGGCGGGGCAGAGTTGCTGTCCCTTTCTGCTCTTCAGTAATGGACAATCCCTTGTTCGGTCAAGGCTGTCCCCCCATTTCCCATCTGGGGTCAACCTCTCCTTCCTCCTCTCTCT